TCTTCTAACACCTTACTCTGCCCCACAGGTTCTGTGATCCAGGGACACTGACCTCTTTGAAGTTCCTCCATGTAACACTCCATATCTCCCAACTCTGGCTGTCTCCCAGGTCTGGAATGCTCTCCCTCCTCATCTCTATTTCCTAGCCTCCCTTGCTTTCTTCAAGTCCCACTGGAAATCATACCTTCTACAAGAAGCCTTTCCTGAACCTCCTCAATACTATTGTCTTCCCTCTCTTGATTATGTCCAATTTATCTTGTCCATATTTTGTTTGTACATAGCTGTTTGCATTTGTCTCCCCCATTATAGACTATGAACTCTCTGAGAGCAGACTGTTGTTTACCTTTCTTCAGCAAAAAGGTAGGAGATGTTGTTGGCATTTGCTGTGATGTACATTATGTCCAACTGTGGCTGATCAGACCAATATGAACCGGGAAGGCTATCCCACAGGTTGCGCACAAATAGTCCATATGCTGGGCAATATAAAGACCCTTTCGCTTGAAACTCAATGACAATTATCACCGTATTTGGTCTGTCAGGTTCCCCCAATATGCTGGGGAGAAGGAGGGTGAGTGTGGAGAGTGAGAAGCATGACAGAGTCTAGAGACATTGTGATAGCTTTCTCTTGGTATAGCCAAAGAAAATCTTTGGCTGTGTATATCCCTTTTGTTTTTTGGAACTCATCATCTATATGGTTGTGTTGTTGAAATGAACTGACTAAGAAGTGCACTGTCTCTTATAAGTTGCAGTGAACATGTACTGCCAAAATAGCTTGAGGAGGTCAAGTCTCCATGATTCTTTATGCTTATACTCTATTTAGCTGAAAGTTTGTTAATACTTTACCATGCCAAATGAGTTAACACAAAATAAACTAAATAAAAGTGGACATATTATATAATATGCTTCATTCCACTGCTGACAGAAAATGAACTGTGCTAGTCTATGCACCAAAGACCCAGAATATCTTGAAGAAAGATAGGATAGGGTAGAGTACTGATCTTGAACATCAGAAGATGTGGATTTGCCTCCCAGTTCTAACACTTATTAATTATGTCACCCCCAGCACCTCACATTTTGCACTTCTTTCCACATCTGTAAAATAACACTTGAACTATCTCATAAGAGTGTAAGGAAAGTAATTTGTAAATCTTACAGTGCTATATAAACTATCATCATTATCAATAAAAGTTTATCGAAATTAATCATCCAATAAACTTTACACTGAGGGTCTCAGGTGCCCCAATGGAAGTTAAAAGAAAAGGTTGATTTTTTTTGCTAGGGGTCCAATGCAGCAGCACAGAACTCTGTAGTCCCTACTCTGCCGGTGAAACTTGAGGCTGGTGGATTGCTCAAGCTGAGTTCTGAGCTGCAGGAGAGATAAAACCAATCACTAAATTCAGCAACAATATAAGTGAGCCCCCTGAAGCAGAGTCCAAAGAAATGGAGTAGGTCAAAACTTCCATGCCAATCAGTTCTGAAACTGCCAGCTTGGGGGACAGAAGGAGACTCAGTCTCAAAACTAAACAAATGAATGAATATATGAATAATTCCTAGACTTACCAGTGACCAAGGAAGTACCTCTACCCCTCCTTCTTTACAGAGGCAGGGGGATTATGGACACAGAACATGTCAGACTTGCGTTGGTTAATCTTACTGAATTGTTTTTCCCTTTTTATTTTTTAATTATAAAAGAATTCTTTGTTATAAGGAATGGCTCTAAGGGACAGTGGGGAAGAATATATTGGGAAATATGTGATGATATAAAAAAACTTATTTTAATGAAAAATTAAATTATGTTCACTAAAATCTGAGGAAGCAGTAAAGTCAACACATTTTTGAAGTCTCTTTTTTCATAAAAGGATTATAATTTTTAAAAGACTAAATGTTTAAGGATAACATTCAGTCATCTGAAAAAGTAACTTATAAAATTAAACAATTCATTCCCCAATGATGCAGCATAAATGAAACATTACTGTTAGATTCCAATATAATCATCTTCTTAAATGTTTAAATACACAGTAGAAAACCACAATAAAGCCTCAGTTATTCAGGCTCCTATAATTATTTCAGACCTGAAAGTGCCAGAAAAGCAGGGGGGGAGGGGAAAGATCGCCTCCCCCAAGCAGTAAGCAATAAAGAGGGCTGAGAAAAGCCAAAGACTAGAAGATTCCACCTGATCAACATGCTGTGATCATTCACTTTGTCAGGTAGCTAGACAGAAGTGTTTTGACTGGTCATCATTACCTATAAAAGCATAGTGTGGATTTTGTTTGTTTTGAGAGGGAAAAAAAGCCAAGAATCCTGGGAAAACATGTTTCTTGACTACAGGAAACAAGAGTGACAAGGATACAAAGCAGAAAGAAGGGGTAAAAGAAGTCAGTGGACTTCAGCAGCAGCGCTTAGCAGCCGGCGTATGGGGAACAGCAACAATTGGAAGAGGTGCCTGGGCAAGCAAACAGACGGCCTGATGGCAGAATAGGTGGCAGCAATGACAAACAGCAATAGAAGGGCAAGACACAAATGAAGAGATCATAAGTGGCAAGAACATACTAAAAATAAAGAGCAAAGAACAGCAAACTACAAGAAGAAAGAACGGAGCCAGGGGAGAAATAGGACAGTGGAGACCAGCATCTCTTGAAGGAGACTCGAAGCCTGACCACCCTGACCACCCTGGCCCCCCTGGCCCAGACCCAGACATCGAAGCTCAGAAGTCTTGGGGGGAGGAGGGAGGTGATGGAAAGCTACACCCATGGTACCACAAGGTGAGATTTTATCATAACAAGGCCATTAGAAAGTATATAGCCAGGTTTCTAACTCTATTAATGATCACATTTTCTTCCCCCAAAAAGCTAAGTTGAGTGGTATGATTAAATATACCCTGACTGCTTCCAAAAAATGATGTATGCTGACAAATACTGAGGTTCCATTTTTAAATTTCTCTGACCCAACAAATGTGCTCCCTACCCCCCCCCAACCTCATTTTCTGAAGCTACACAGCCTCAAAGCACACAGAATCTGTGAAAAGATCTGTTGTTCAGTTGTCTCTGACTCTTCATGACCCTATGGACCACACAGTCCACGGGGTTTTCTTGGCAAAGACATTGGAGTGGTTTGCCATTTCCTTCTCCAGAAGATTAAGGGAAACAGAGGTTAAGTGACTTGCCCAGGGTCACACAGCTAGCTAGTGTCTGAGGCTGAATCTGAACTCAGGTCTTCCTGGCTCCAAGCCCAGCACGCTATTCTCTAGCTGCCTAAAATGATTGCTTCAGTTCAACTCCTCAATCCTCAAACCATATAAACCAACACTACCCTACACAAAAACCCCAACAACAAAGAATAAGTTCTAGAAAAGAATAGTACAACACTTTAATGTTTGCTATAGCTGCTTCTCCAAGATATCTATATTCTGTAAGATTTAATGGGTTCAAAATTGTTGCAAAGATATTATTTTTAAAACTCTACAATTTCCACCTAAATGTCTAGATTGATACACACAGCCTTTACGATTTGCAAAGCACTTTACACATGTTAAGTGTTATCCCCATTTCACAGATAAGGAAACGAGGCTGAGAGGTTAAATGATTTGCCGAGGTTCACACAGCTAGGAAATGACTGAGGTAGGCTATGAACTCAGGTCTTCCCGACTCCAAGTTCCAAGCCCTGTTCACTGTGCCACCAAAGGCTGATCTTAAACTGCTAACGTTACACCTCTACTAAAGTTCTCTATTATCATTTATGTACGTACATAGGAAAATCAACATAAAAACTGAAATATTTCAACTCGCTGAGTTGGCAACTTACAAACGGAACCAAAACACACACCGGACTACTTCCTTCTCTCCTCTCCCTTTCTCTGGATGATTAGGATATAGTTAATACTGGAATCAGCAAATTATACTTTTATACAAATTTGAAGGTTTTTATAAAACACGTATGTGGGTATATAATGAAACACTGCCGATTTGCGGAAACTTTCCAAGGTGTCTACTTTATCAGAAAGCCAGGCCGGGCTCAAGCGTCAGGAGACCGGGATGTGCCCCCCCCAGCAAAGCCTTTCTACCGTCTCCCGGTATGGATCCGGGGCCGACAGACAGACCGAGCAGTGTACCAAGGGAAACCCGGGCGCTCAGTGTCACAAGAAGCCACCCCGCCCGCAAGCCGAGACGCAACTCCCAAAGGTCACCCCTAGGTCAAGGTAAAGGGGCCGGGGCTGGGGGACCTCGGTCCACCTGTCCTAGCAGGAGGAGCGGGAGGAGCCGGGGCCCCACGCACCTCCATCCAGGCTGGCCTCTGCAGCGCCCCGGGCGCAGCCCGCACTCTCGGCCCGGGGCCAAAGGCGCCGGGGAAGCCTTCACCCGCTCGCTCCAGAGCTCTCGGGCTCCGGGTAACCGCAGGAACATAGCCCGGGGCCTGGCCGCCTCCCTGCCCCCGCCCCCCGGGGGCTGTCACCTGCCTCGGGACTGGGGGAGGCAGCTCGGGGTGAGAGGGGGCTGCGCCCGAGGCTCCCCCCGCCCAGGTGCCGCTCCTCCACAGCGGGGGGTCGTCGGGAGCCCGCCGGGGTCTTTCTCCTCCTCTCCTTCTCAAGGTGGGCTGGAGGTTGGGCGATTGGGGGAGGTGCTGGGGTGGGCCGCGGCCCTCCGAGCACTCACACACACGGGCTTACACGTACTTGCACACACTCACACTCGCTCGTTCACTCCCGGGGGCGGGGCGGGCGCTGCCCTCCCTCACACAGGAAGTCAGGAAACCGGGGTGGGGGGATGGGGAGGAGGAGGAAGAAGAGGAGGAGGGAGCCACAACTTCGAGCCATTTAAACCTGGGACCGGCCAATGGGAGGACAACGGCCCCCTGCCCCGCCCGGAGCGCGGGACCGCCACCACCCCCCTAGCGTCCCCCGGACGCCCACCCCCCGCGCCGCCCCAGCGCCCCTCGGCCGACCCCTTTGTCCCGTCCGTCCCATCCTCGCGGCCTTCCCCCTGCTCCTTACCGACGGCGGCGGGAGAGTAAACACGGCGGCGGCGGCGCCCGGAGCCCAGCCGCGTCCCCGGGCTCTGCCTCGGAGGGAGGGTGAGTTCCAGGGCACGTCGGGAGAGCGCGCTGACGCGGGGGCGGGGCGGGCAGGGGAGGGGGTGCGGGGCCCGGCGCGCGCGCGGGGGGGTGGGAGAGAGGGAGGCGAGAGGGGAAGTGGAGGGGAGGGTCACGTGAGCCTGCCCGCGGTGCCCGGGGGCGGGGGGGGGGGGAGGCAGAGGGTGGAAGCGGTAGCCGCCTCGTGCCCCACCGCGGGGCGGGGCCAGCAGAAGGGGTGGGGCCGAGCCTAGGGGCGGGGTGGGCCGGAGTCCGGAATGTGTGTGCCCAGCATTTTGGGAGGCCCGGGGAGGGGGGGGGGGAGAGCCAGCGTCGGACTTTGGCGAGGGGTAGGGGGTGGGGCATGGCTGCAGGGGTCCTAGGCGTGAGAGCAGGGCGCAAAAAGGGCTGGGACCCTGGACGTGCAACGTTATAAAGAAAGAGAGGGCCGGTTCCAGACTAACTGAGGCTCTATGCCTGGCAAGGTGCACATTCGTTCAACCAGCGGGAAGCCGTGGGCATGCACAGACACTGTCACCCTGTCAGCAATAACGAGTTAACTCAGGCTTGAAGTGTAAAGGCACGGCCCGAGAGCTACAGTTAGTGCTTAATGCTAAGGGGGGGGGGGCGGTGTACATAGCGTTAGGATGCAATCACGACTTTAAATGTTGAGTCTTTCAGAACAGAAATGTCCAGAAATCGATTTAGTAGCCTGCTGCCGGCCTGTTGCTTGACTGTACCCCATGTCGAAGTCAGTCTGTTAATAAACATTTCTTAAAAGTGCTTACTCTGTGCCAGGCTGAGGATACAGGAAGGCTGAACATGGTCTATGTTCTCAAGGAGACCCCAGTTTAATGGGAATGACAGCGTGCAAACAACTCCGTGCAAACTAGATGTGTGTGTGAGAGAGAGACAGAATGAGAGACTCTATAATTTAGGCAATGTTTTTTGAGAATTACAGTTTTCAGAAAGACTCTTAAGAGCAGCCCGCCTCTAGCAATAGCCTTCGAAGAGCTTAGCTCTGCCAGTATTCAAATAAGAGACTTGCCCACCACTAGGACCAGGTCAGAAGTCTCTCTAGATTGGTATAATGGAAACAATCCTAGATCTGGTGTCAGATGCCAGAGGTTAAATCTTGCATTCTTACTACCTTTATGACCCGGGGCGACTCATTTCAGCCCTGGGCTCCAATTCTGTCACCTGTAAAATGAAGACGTTAGGCTGGATGGCCTCTAAATCTACAATTGTCTTGTACTTTCCACAATTTGGGCTCCTCTGGCACACTCTTCAAGAGCCCACAGTGGCAACGAGGCATCCGAAGGCAAAGGCGGAGGAGAGACACCAGCCATTAAATGAAATTCAACGAGTTGTTGTTTGAAGTAGTTTTTCATATAGAAAGAAAAGCATTGATCCAGACAAGCAAATACAAAATAAACATAAATATAGTAACATCTCTTTATCATCGTACTGGCTTACTTTGTTCCCCTCTTTCCTCCTATTTTCTTTCACTGATGCTGTCCTGTACTCTTTTCAGTAATGTTGCTCAGCACACAGAACAAGATTGCTTTATTCTTTCATTTTCTTTATTCTGTGTTGCTTAGGGTTCTCTCAGAAGGCTCTCTTTTTCAAACACCAAAGCAAAGACCTAGTACAAAACATCATGTCTTGGTGGAAATGTGTTGATAGTAGCATTTTCTCTGTTCCAGAAGCTAAGTGTTAGACATGTTTATTTCAGTTGAAAATAAAACATTTTGAATGCGCACACACACAAATTGTTGCCTATTGTAACTCTACTTCCACTTTCAAAGTCAATCAATAAGCATTTATTACCTCGTGCTGTGTACAGGGCTGAATGCTGAGGATACAAGTGAAGCAGTCTCTGCCCTCTAGGAGCTAGCTTACATTTTATCCAGGGAGACAACATGTGCACATCGAAGTGTGGGTATACATATGTGCACACACACATACAGCATACTCTCTAGTGATACCACTATACCCACCATGCAATAATTGCTTGCTACCCAAAGTAGATGGAATTAGACATACAGAACTCTATAGTATGTTGTTTTTAAAAAGACCTAGGGAGGAGGGAGAGGAAAGGACAGGACAGTGACATCATTTTCAGCGTTGTCTCTAGTTAATTTTAAAATAGCACTAGGCAGCATATGTCTGGTGCCTACACTAAAGATCTCACCATATCATTTTGAGTCCCATTATAATTTAACAGGCTTCTTGTTTAAACAACATCGGGTTCTAAAATTCTTAACTGTTACAGGCTAAATTTGCTTTGCTTCCATCTTGATCACTTACTGAAAGGATAACTTTTCTAACAGCATAAAACTAGTACAGAACAAGTCTAATGCCATTATTTGGCAGCAAAAGTTTCACCAGATTTGACCAACTAGTAGATGCATTAACCTAAATAGTTGTGATCTTTGTTTATTATTGAAAAATAATTTCTCACTATTACAATTGATGTTAAAGATTCTAGTGCTGCATTTTGTTTGAGGCTTAATACAGAAATGTTGTAAACCTATGTGGATTTGCATTCTATTTCCATTCAACTTCAGTTTAACTTTAGAAATGACAAAATTTGGAGGGTCTTGAATTAGTGTTAAATAAGAAAATTAGAAAATCATGGACCTTTTTTTTTTGTTTTCCCCTGACCAAGGCCAAGAAAAGCACATTTAGAAAAACACTGAAGGCATGTGTTCATTCCTCTGTGTTTCTGTTCACTTGCTTTGTAATGGCAATTACCTCCTGCTTACACATGCTGCACAGATGCTCTGTAAACAATTTTGCCTGACACAATAGACGCTTTGCAAGCTTGCTACATTTATTTGCAGGCTTGATTTCCAGAAATCTCAAACTGAATTATAATCATAGACTCACAATAATAGTAATTTACATAGTACCTTCGATCTGAAGATTTCAAGTGCTCAATTGTTCCATATGATTATTTCTACTGTACTGAATTATGTCATTGATTTCATCAGTTGCAGACTCTTCAAGGTAAATGTAGGCATTATGAGATTATAACGTAATAAATAATAACAATACCAAGGCATAATTATAACAAAATTGCCATCTGAAGCATTTCCAAAGTCACATGGCCAAGTCATACCAAATATGAGATAAAACAGCCATTGAGCAGTTAATGAGTCGTGTTTAAAACTCACAGAAACCTTGGGATCATTTAATTCAATGCTCACATTGTATAGGTCTAGAATCTGAGGCCCAGAGAGAAGAGACAGGCTCCGTGTCAGATCGGTAGTGAGAAGAGCCAGCGCTGGAATGAATCTGACTTTGGGGTCAGTTAGGCAATTTAAACATTGAATCCATATTTGGTTAATTTTATACCCCTTCAATTAACCATGCCCTCTAGTTCACTTCAAAGTTTTCTCTACAAATATCTATGATGTCTAAGAAAAGGTGGGAATGAAGAGACATAAATTCTAAATTTTAATGCCAGTTCTGCCACTTGGACAAGTCATGATTTTAACATCTCTGGGTCCCAGTTCCCTAAATTATGTTATTCTAACATGGCTTCAGCTCTAAAATTTTATAATTCGATATAGGTATCAAGGAAATAACTATTAAGTTACCAAATGGTCCCTGACTAATTGTAACGTGTTATTCTGACATACTTAACTTCACAACATACATAATGTAAAACTCCCAAGACTTTCTTCCTCATCCAAATATAAAAATGAATGAAATACCAGCTGAACTGTAGCAATTGCACATGATGCTGGGTCACCTCCCCCATCGAGAGTGATCCACCTTTAGGAGAGAATCCAACGAGGTTTTCTCATTCTCCTACTCGGTAAGATAATCTCACTTGCACTCTTGTGCACAGAGGTGAAAATTTAGCTCATAAAGAATTATGTAAACACTAGCCAGTGACAGTAATTATGTCAGTGGGTGTAAAAAATGTTGGGATATTAAAACATGCCCAATTAGCCCCTGGCGACCCTGATGCAGCCTTGTTTGCTCCCCACAGCCAATTTGAATATGGTAATAATAGCTATGGTACACCCATAATAATATCTTACCTATCTGGAATTTAGCTACTTAAGATCCTCAATCAGAACACAATCATAATAAATAAATGCATGAATGAAAAATAAATAAATGGATAGGTGGATGAATATAATAATATAAAAACTCATATTACTGTATTAAAATAAAATTAATATAGATAAATAAAAAGGCTTCTGAGTTGCCCAAATAGACATCACAAAGTCCAAGCATTAAAGCCTGTGATTCATAGGAGGGAAGGGAAGTGAACAAGCATTTATTAAGCACCTGCTGTCTACCAAGTGCTTTACAAATACAATCTCATATTCTCCTCTGTTATGATCCCCATTTTACTTATGAGGAAACTGAGGCAAAGGAAGATGAAGTAACTTGCCTGGAGTTACACAGCCAGTAAGTGCTGGCGGACACCCTACCACCTAGCTGCCTAGCAAATTAGGCCCCTGTCACTGGGCCTTTCAACTTATATTTTAGACATGATTCTAGCTAGCAAGAGGCAGCTAGCTCAGGGGTACAATGGATAGAGCATTGGACTTGTGAGTCAGGAAGTCCTGACTGAATCCAATCTCAGACACTTACTAGCTGTGTGACTCTGGGAAGATACTTAACCTCTGCCTGACTTAGTTTCCTAATCTGTAAAGTGGGGTTGATAATCATAATACCTACTTCCCAGGGTTCTTGTGAGGATCAAATGAAATAGCATTTGTAAAGTGCTTTGTTAAAATGTTTTATAAATGATAGTTATTATTATTTAGTGTCACCATCTGGTTTCCTAGGTCACAACAGATTTTTTTTATTGTTTCTGGTCTAGTTCTGTTAATTCTTCAGTGTGTGAAACTCTTCCTCCCAATGCATTTTGGCAGCCGTTATCCATCTTGCAAGTCCTAAAGAATTGCCCAGGTCCCTGACTTTTCCAGGATTTCACAGTCCATTAAGTATGTCACAGGTAAGATTGGAAAGCAGAT